TCAGGTTTCTGAGTTAAAAGTGTTGTTGATTGGCATCAAAGGTAAGGTCTTGTTTTCTCTGTGCAGTGGGTATGTTTAAGTTATGTGCTAGGTCTGTTTATTTCAATGGAAACAACAATCTAAGCAAATCTCTTCTGCATGTTTTTGTTCATAGTGACTCATTAGTAGATAATGATGATTTGTTTGCTTGCTCTTTTAATCTTTATGAAAATCTAAAGACAAGAGTGGATGATCTAGGAGCGGCCATGTCTTTGAGGTAACAAGAGCAAGATGCAGAACTATAAGATGGGTTTTGTTTTTGTTAGAGCAATTCCATCATATGCTTGATAACATTTTCTTGCTGCTGGTACTGCTGTTTGACTTATTGGAAGATGATGAACTATCCACTACCCCTTTTTAGTAAATATCTTCTGGAATTTGAAATTAATGATCTGGTGGCGGTTAATACAATCACTAACCTTCATTTCTTGACCTTTATTTTCAATTGTAGCACAATCTGCCAAATTTATAGTGCCATATTTAAATAAACAGATGAGGTGGTTCCAATGGTCCTTGACAAAGCCAAAAGGATAAACATGGATGATTATTAATTAAAATCAGAGAAACAGGACTATAGTTTTTCTTTTGGTTGTAACTGGCTTATAGTTAATTGTTCAGAGCCACATTGTTCATATTAGATTGGTGTGTTTAGATGGCTTGTTTATTTTGTTTTATATTATGTACTAGTTTGTAATTAGTTTCTTGAAATTGAGATGCAATCTGAATTCTGTAGGCTTTAAGTCAACCAATTTTGATGCAATCAATATAAGGTTTCTTTCACATTCTTCATTTTCAATTTTAATTGAATTTCCAATTCTCTTATCAAAAGTTTTCGAAAACATAAAAGTTTCTGTGCGAAAACCCTAATTCAGACTTTTAATGTTAATATAAAAATCTTATTTTAAAATAATCAGAGGTTCAAGAGGTAGGCGTGTACGGATTTATTATTATATTTTTAAACATTGGAAATGTGAGGTACAAACATAAAATAAATAGAGTTAAAATACGGAGTGGGTTTTACGCTTTAGTGGGGGCCGTGGGGCGCCTAACATGGTTGATTAAAAATGTCGAACAATTCCCATTTTCCGCTCTCTCTGTCTCAGCATCCCTTTTTTCCTCACAATTCACAAAAATGACGGAAGTGGAGGGTCTGAGATTCGACTCGTCAATTAAACGGGTAATTTCTTTTCTCTCTTCCCCTGTTTCTTTCATCCCCAGAAATAACAAAACGATTAGATCTGTTTTCTGTAAATAATTCAGTTAATATTCTAAAAACTCATGGGATTTCAACCTTTTTCTTTCAGGTTATTTTGAGTAAAAAGGGCTGCTGGTTCGCATCAAAGGTAAGGTGTTGCTTTCTCTGTGATGTGGGTATGTTATGTGCTACGTCTGTTTATTGCAAGTTCAATATTTCAATGAAAACATCAATGCAAGCAATCCACTTCTGCATTTTTTTCTTTGTTACAAAAGTGACCCTCTCAGTCCATTTTAAGATTTGAACATGAGATAAGCTCTTAACCACTTGGTTGTGTTCTAGGGAACCTGAGTCATTGTCAGATAATGAATTATTTGCTTTTTTTTTTTAACCTTTTGACAATCTAAAGACTAAGGTGGATAATTTAGTATCAGTGACAAAGGCAAACTCCAGAACCATAAAGTAGGTAAGAAAAGTGGCATAATTCAGAATATTATCATGAAAGGGGCCAATGCAATGCTCATGACCACTTTCACAAGAGAATGTTATTAATGGCATTTTTTTTTTTTTTAACTTGTCTTAGAGAGAGTGGCTAATTCAACAGATCAATAGCAAAATAGCCTTCAATTCTTGAGCCCTGTATTATAACATT